TCAAGCAGTTTTTTCATGGATACCTTTGGGTCTTCTAAGTATACCATCATGTCATCTGCAAATAAAGATATTTTCAACTCTTCTTTGCCTATTCGAATGCCTTTAATACTGTTCTCTTCTCTGATTGCAATAGCTAAGACTTCCAGTACTATATTAAAGAGCAGTGGAGAAAGTGGGCAGCCTTGCCTAGTACCTGTTTTCAGAGGAAAAGCTTTCAGCTTTTCCCCATTCAGTATAATATTAGCTGTAGGTTTTTCATAGATTGCTTTTATTGTGTTCAGAAATGACCCTTCTATACCAATCTTACTGAGAGTCTTAATCATAAAAGGATGTTGTATTTTATCAAACGCTTTCTCCGCATCAATTGAGATGATCATATGGTTTTTATCTTTCTTTCTGTTAATGTGGTGTATTACATTTATGGTCTTGCGTATATTGAACCACCCTTGCATCCCTGGTATAAAGCCTACCTGGTCGTGATGAATGATCTTTGTTATATGTTGTTGGATACGATTTGCGAGTATCTTGTTGAGAATTTTCGCATCTATATTCATCAATGATATTGGTCTGTAGTTTTCCTTTTTTGTCATATCCTTATCTGTTTTGGGGATGAGGATGATGGAGGCTTCATAAAATGAATTTGGAAGGTTTCCTTCCTTTTGAATCTTTAGAAATAATTTTAGTAAGATAGGGGTTAATTCTTCCTTGAAAGTTTTGTAGAATTCACAAGTGAAGCCATCTGGGCCTGGGCTTTTCTTTGTTGGGAGATTATTAATTACTGATTCAATCTCCTGGCTTGTTATAGGTCTATTCAGATTCTCTATGTCTTCCTGATCCAATCTTGGTAGTTTATATGCATCCAGGAATTTGTCCATCTCCTCCAGGTTATCTTGTTTGTTGGCGTAAAGTCGCTCATAGTATCCTCTAATGATATTATGTATTTCTGCTATGTCCGTGGTAATATTGCCTGTTTCATCACATATTTGATTAATCTGGTTTCTTTCTTTCTTCTTCTTGATCAGTCTAGCCAATGGAGTATCAATCTTGTTGATCTTTTCAAAGAACCAGCTTTTGCTTTCATTTATTTTCTGTATGGTTCGTTTATTTTCTATTTCATTTATTTCTGCTCGAACCTTTATTATTTCTTTTCGCCTGGCATTTTGGGGGTTCGTTTGTTGTTGTTTTTCCAGTTCTCTGAGGCATGATGATAAGTTATCTACTTGCCATCTTTCCATCCTTTTCTTATGTGCACTAATTGCTATGAATTTCCCTCTTATGACTGCTTTTGCTGTGTCCCATAGGTTCTGGACACTTGTGTCCTCATTATCATTTGTTTCCATAAATTTGTTTATTTCAGCCTTAATTTCTTCAGTAGTGAAGAAGTCATTCAGAAGTAGGTTGTTCAGTTTCCATGTGTTCGTGTGTTTTCGGGGTTGTTTCTTGAAATTAATCTTGAGTTTAATTCCATCATGGTCAGAGAAGATGCTGGGTACAGTTTCTATGCCTTTGAATCTGTAAAGGCTTGATTTGTGTCCTAATATATGATCTATCTTTGAAAAGGTTCCATGTCGGGGTGAGAAAAATGTATATGTTGTGGATGTAGGGTGGAAAGTTCTATAGATATCTGTCAAGCCCATTCCATTTATAGTATCATTTAAGTCCTGTATCTCTCTATTTATTTTCTGTCTAGAAGATCTGTCTATAGGAGATAACGGGGTGTTGAGATCTCCAACAATTATAGTATTTTTCCCTATGTCTCCTTTTAGCTCCAGCAGTCTTTCCTTCACATATTTAGGCGCACCTGAGTTGGGTGCGTAGATATTTATAAGGGTTATATCTTCTTGCTGGATTACCCCATCTACTATTATATAATGCCCTTCTTTGTCTCTTCTTACAGTCTTTGTTTTAAAATCTATTTTGTCTGAGATCAATATCGCTACTCCAGCCTTTTTCTGATTTCCATTTGCATGGAATATCTTTTTCCAGCCCTTGACTTTTAGTCTATGTATATCTTTATCCATAAAGTGAGTTTCTTGTAGGCAACAGATAGAGGGTTTCTGTTTTCTTATCCATTCAGCTAGTCTATGTCTCTTAACTGGGGAATTTAATCCATTGACATTCAATGTAATTATCGATATTTCCATACCTGATCCTATCATTAAGTGAGCCATTTTCTTAGTTGTTTTTTGTTCTCGTATAACTGTCTCTGATTTTTTAGTTTTCCTGGTATAGTACTCCCTTCAAAACCTCTTGAAGAGCTGGTCTGGTGTTGGTAAATTCCTTCAAATTTTGTTTATTTGAGAATGTTTTTATCTTTTTTTCCCATATAAAAGATAATTTTGCCGGGTATAGTATTCTTGGTTGAAATTGTTTTTCACTCAACACTTTGACTATGCTTCCCCATTCTTTCCTTTCCTGCATTGTTTCTGCTGAGAGATCCGATGTTAGCCTGATGGGGTGACCTTTGTAAGTAACCTGGCGTTTCCCTCTTGCCAACTTTAGTATCTTGTCTTTATCTGTTGTTTTTGCCAGTCTGGCTATGATGTGCCTTGGAGATGATCTTCTTGGGTTGATTCTACTTGGGGTCCTCTGTATTTCTTGGGTCTGGATATTTGAATGCCTTTCTAGATTTGGAAAGTTTTCTTCCAGGATCTCATGGAATAAATTTTCCAGGCCCTTATTATTTTCTTCCTCCTCCGGAATACCAATTATCCGAATGTTGGGGCGCTTGATGGTGTCCAGTATTCCTCGTATATTATCCTCATTTTTCATGGTTGTTTTCTCAATCTTCTTGATACTTTTATCTAGGTCAGATGTTTTGTCTTCTACGTTAGAGATTCGGTCTTCTGCCTGGTCTAACCTACATTTAATGCTTTCAAGGGAGGTTTTGATTTCCTCTATCACATTCTTCAAACCTAGAAGTTCCATCTGGTTCTTGTTTAGGGTATCCATTTCTTCTTTCAAGTCATTAAAGGACTTCCTCATCTCCTGGAGCTCCTTGTCTCTTTTCTCTTCCATCTCAGTTAGTTTGGTCACTACAAATATTCTGAATTCCTTATCAGACATGTCCACGACGTCCATTGTATTGACTGTGGGTGATGTAGGATTGATGATTTCCCTTGACGGAGAGGCCTTTTGTTGGTTGCTCATATTTCTTGAGCCTTTGCGATTGTTTTTAGTCATCAGGTAATCTATATGTTTCTTGCCAACTTATTTCAGGTATCTCTGATTCATAAAAGTTGTACAGGCTTAGAAGATTGATGATTTCTCTTATGGTTGGCCTACCTATTACTCACAATTACCATTAACTGTTGCCACTAGCCCTGGAAGGCCCAAAGTGCTCGCTGTTTCTAAGGAGTAGTGAGCCTTCAACTGACCAAACAAGCAACACCCCAAGAGCAAAGAAAAACAAAATGGAAAAAGAAAATCGCGCACCGCGCGCTACTCAACTCACCAAAATTCAAACACTCCAAAGGCTAGTGGAAATGGATCAGACAATGAATGACAGTACCAGGTTGGTCGGGCCTGCAGCCTCAGTCCGCCTGGTGTCCGGAACTGCTGGCCGGCTCGATCCGGGTTTCGGGTGGGGAGGGGTGTGGGTTCGCCTTAAAGTCCCAGGCAACCAACCTGGAGTCCAAGGAGGAAGGATGGTGGGGATACGTGGAGTTGCGGTAGGGTCGGGCCTGCAGCCTCAGTCCGCCTGGGGTCCGGAACTGCTGGCCGGCTCGATCCGGGTTTCGGGTGGGGAGGGGTGTGGGTTCGCCTCCTCAGTCTGCCTGGTGTCCGGAACTGCTGGCCGGCTCGATCCGGGTTTCGGGTGGGGAGGGGTGTGGGTTCGCCTTAAAGTCCCAGGCAACCAACCTGGGGTCCAAGGAGGAAGGATGGTGGGGATGCGTGGAGTTGCGGTAGGGTCGGGCCTGCAGCCTCAGTCCGCCTGGTGTCCGGAACTGCTGGCCGGCTGGATCCCAAGGCAAGGTTGTTAACTCTCATTGTTCCATTTGAATAGAGTAGGGAGAAGTCTGACAAGAGCAATTAGACAAGGACTGGTCGCACCCTCTGGCATTTAGTCACACAGTGTTCTATGATGCACAGCACTGTTACCTGGACAAACATCAGAAGGGCTAAGATTCAACAGTTTAGGTGTCAAAAAAGGAAGGCTGAGATTCAGTTCAAAGGTTAAGAAAAACTCTGCTTTCTCCCCACATTGGGCGGATTTTTGGAACATTATTTCTTTTCTGATGTGAGATATTCTTGGTATCATAGATCAAGCCTCTGTACACGGTGGAGGGGGTAAGCAGAACTCAAACATGGTTCTATCATCTGTGCCAACCGGAGTCTTGCCCTGTGTTTTTCTTTGCATTTTAGTGTGGAGGGACCTGTAACTTGTTCTAGGAAACTGAATATGGCAAAGGCGGTAGGCAGATATTTTTGTGATTATGACTTCAAATAAGAAACAACTAGTCAGACTGGAGAGAAATTCTCTTGCTAGCCTGTCAAGATGCAATGTTCAGGGGGCTGCAGGTCCCCTTCAAGGTCTAAAGATGACCTGTAAGTGAAATCTACACATGGATTGGGGTCCTCTGTCAGGCATCCACCAGGAAATGAAATCTTCCACCACCCAACTGAACCACTATAGCAGAGTGTTTAAGTGTGAGTAGAGGGAGCTGCATCTCAAGTGGCTGACTGAGGTTTGAACCTCAGTTCTGGAGACTTGGGGGGGCGGGGACACGACAACAACAACTCTGGGTGCATGGAAACATGCTCAGAATCCAGATGAGTTCGAGAAATGGAAGGAAAAAGGATTTTGGTGTGGCCAGACTCCATTGGCAGTCCTTTCTCTTGCTCTTTCTCTCTCATATTCACATCTGCACTCTGGGGGAAAAAAAAAGTATAGGCATTTCATGAAAATGCTATTCTATATTTGTTATTTAAATTAAATAAATCCTGTGCTTTTTAAATGGCTTAACTAGTCACTAAAGACTATTTCCAGGAATAAATTTTCATAGGTAATTTTTTAAAGGCTGGTGGCACTTCTGCTGCATATTTTTCAGAGTATTGATTATTCTATTATCAGAACAGATGAGGACCAAAGGACTGATAGTGGCATAGACATTGACCGTAATCCGGTGGACACCAACAAGAACTGGGTCTTTCATCCATAAGATGACAACTGTGGATGAGATGATGATGTCTGTGCAGTACATGACCACAAAGAAACACACCAGCAGCAGGATGCTCTGGGTAGCTCTTTTCTCTGGGGAGAGTCTTGGGGAGAGGCTTGTTCTGTAAAGGTGCTGGGATTGTCTCTGATGCCTGAACAAGAGAATGACCATGAACACACTTGAGAGCAGCATAATTCCTGAAAAGAAGGCATCCCTGACAAATGCCAGAGTGAAATAAAAACCCCTGATGATGAAGTTATTGGGGGCAAGTGCACAATATTTATTGATATTCCTTAGATTGGTCTGGGTCTCATTGGAATAAGCTATGGTGTAGATGATCATGTAGGTACTAAGGCCCAAACTGAGGAACCAAAAAGAGAGAAAAAAAAAACCTGGATCTTGTAATTCTTGGATTTCTGTTTGAACCTTGCCCACCAGGAGGTGCTAGGGCAGATGGTGATGGTCCGGAGCACACTCAGGAGGCAGGTGGTGCAGATGGAGAGGCCCCGCATAGCCTTGTTTACATAGAACACCGCCTTACATGTGAAGTCATTCCAGTATGTTGGTGACTGAGACAGCTCTGGAGACAAAAATTCAGCTGCAGTGAGAAGCATCACTATGTGCACAAAGGTCAAGTGACAGATGATCAGGTCGAACGGCTTGGGTTTGTGGTCCAGAAGAAGTACAAGGAGATAGAAGAGAAGGAGGAAGATGTTCACTGGGAGTCCAATAACAGCTTGGGAAAAAAGGCATTTTTCAATGATAACAGAAATGGAAAGTGTGTTCATCTTCGTGGCACAAAAAAAGCAGATTTTGTATATCTAGAAAAAGTAATAGTACATCTCACATCAATATGCTTTCAAAATCATCACCATAATCATTATTTGAATTTTACTTACTTACTAGTAATAAACCATGTCTATCTCATATAAATTCATGACAACTCTCTCCCTGTATCAGTTTCTACATGAAATCACTTATACATGTGAAACATCAAGACACCCATGTTCATGCCTATAGAGGGCTCACACTGTCTACACCCTGCAGCTGTGTCTCCAATTTTAGGAATCCTCTCTGTTGTCCTTTTATTTTACACGTAGTTTAACACCCAAAACAGAGAAGTACATAAAATATCACACAGTGGTATTTGTGCAATAAAATTGAATATAAATTTTTCCAATGTGGAAAGACTTACCAGATAAGCATTTAAAAAATACCAGCTGAGTCTTTCTCATATCTCATCACTTTGGCAAAAACTACTCTTTGTCACTCTTTCCACATTTCAGACCTTGTGATTATATTGGACTCAGTATAATTCAGGAAAACATGACACTTTAAATCAACCAGTCTTATGTGCAACCTTAGATTCCCTTTGCTATGACATCTAATATCTTCCCAGATCTGAAAGTTAGGATAAGTACATCTTTGTATGGGTGTTCCTATGTTTGCCAAACCCCCATTAACCCAATTAGCCTACAAGGATCCTCTCTTCAAGTTTAGTTTCTATGCCAGAGATTTCTTCTGTGATCTATCTTCATCACAGGTTAAAATGCTACTTCCCACCTCTCAATTATCAAAGGTAAAATATCTACTTTTTATTTCTTTTTATTTCAATTTTTATACATTCAATTTCATGTTACTTAGCTTACAAAGTGAATATTTTTTTTTAATTTTTTTAGAGGTTTTTGCTATAGGGCACATGCACTCACCAGACGGACAGAGAGACAGAAAGCGAGAAATCACCCCCCGGGGGGATGGTCACACCACAATCCCTTCTCCTCCATTCTCCTCTCAGGATCTTGGGCACGCACGCACACGTGCCCAGCGTGAGTTTTAAGCCACCAGATCCGGGACGTGAACCGTGATCAACTATGTGGGAGTCCAGAGGCATAGCCATTATGCTAACTGCTGGTCCCACAAAGTGAATATTGTAATATGTGTACATTTCTCACCAGTCCAATCTTTCACTCTGCATAGTATAGATATAAGAATATCATTCATATGCTAAAAATACTGGATTTTGTTTTATCATTATAGTAATGAAAAAGTATTGTTTTCATTATAAAATTTCCAGCCACCATTGAGCAGTCTGTCTTGTAAGACATGGGACTGGTCATTGACAGCATGACGTGGTTATGAGAATTTCAGGGGCCAAGGAGAGGAGGTAGGTCGATCTGTGGCAGTGAGTGGTAACCCGAGAAAATGAGCTGGCAAGTTAAGGAAGGAAAGCATAGTTCCTTCATGATTACTTCCATGGAAAGGCCTAAATAAAAAACTCAATGCATGAAGAATAGAAAAGAGGGAGCTCCAGGCCTCTGATCAGCCAGGGACACTGAGGCAGGGACAGCTCTGCCCCCTTGCCTCACTTTCAGGCCCCCAGACCAAGACCCCACCCCTAGACTGTCCTTTCCCCAGCAGCAGGCAACAGAACTAGCTCCAGGCCTCTGATCAGCCAGGGACACTGAGGCAGGGACAGCTCTGCCCCCTTGCCTCACTTTCAGGCCCCCAGACCAAGACCCCACCCCCTAGGTAGGTAGCTAGTATTATCTGCTTTTGATTTTTGTGCTTCTCCACTCTATTTTTAATTCCCTGGTCTTCCTCTTCCTACAGACTGTCTTTTCCCCAGGAGCAGGTGATAGAATCAGCTCCAGGCCTGTGGTGCATAAGCGCAGTTCACAACTTTTTTTTTTTATTTCTGTGTGTTGTCTTTTCTTTCTATTATCCTCTCCTCTTCATCTTCCACCCTGCCAGAGGCACTAGACAGGTCTATAATCAGATATCTGAAATTCCCTAGTAATGTAAGTTTCTCTGGGATTCTCTCTTGTACTTATCCACCTGTGAAAAAGGAGATACTGCTTTTCGGGCACCCCAGTAGAATACCCCTCTTGAGACCACATTGGCAAAAACAACAGAAGAGAGACTTCAGCAAACATCAATTTTCAGCAAAAGGGAAACTCACTTATTCCTAGTCGGAGAAAAGTTCCCATAAGAGATATTCAAAAGTGAACACATCTTCCAACGGCTAGAAGTAGAAGAAGAGCCTCAGGTCTGAATAAACAAGGAAATATGTCTCCACCAAAGGAAAATGGTAACTCCCCTCCATCTCTCATAAACATGGAGGATGTTACCAAAATGTCAGACAAAGACTTTCGAGCATTCATGGTTACCAAATTCTACGAGTTGGAACAGAAAAGAGACAATGAACTACAGGAGATTAGGAAGTCCTTCCAGGACATGAAAGAAGAAATGGACACTCTGAGAAAGAATCAGGTGGAACTATTAGAGATAAAGTCTGTAAAACAGGAAATCAAAAACTCTCTTAAAAGTATTAAAAGTCGATTAGACCTTGCTGAAGACCTAATCTTTGATGTAGAAGATAAAACCTCTGACCTAGGAAGAAAAAAACACCAAAAAGATTGAGAAAATTAAAAAAAAAAACCACAAGGATAATATACAAGATATACTAGACTCAATTAGACATCCAAACATCAGAATAATTGGCATCCCAGAAGGTGAAGAAACTAATAACAGCATGGAAAAATCTA